TCTTTGATTTGCTTGTTTGTATGTTCTTTAAATTCATTGAATTCCTTGATCATGTTTATGATTGTTCTTTTAAATTCAGTGTCCTGGGTTATCTCTAGGGGGTTTTCCTTGTTGAACTCTTCTAAAGGATTGGTGGGGTTTGGTGGGGACATAGTGTTTTGGCTTTCCATTTTATTATTTTTTCGTTGTGGTTTTGGCATGTGAATTTCTTTTGCTGTTTATGATTTCTGATATGAGAATTAAGTTGAAGTATGCTTCTGTTTGTAACCTAGACTCTTTATTATTTATGTAAAGCTGGTTGGTACAGGGTTCAGGTTCTCTCAGGTTTATTTTGGAGGGAACTGATGGCTTCAGATCAGCTATTCAGGGGTACCCACAGAAACCCAATTCAGGTTCTAGTCAGGTATGTTCAGGCTTCCTTCACCACGTGGAGGCAGGATCCAGGCTCTCTCAGGCAGTCCTGTGCTTTGTTAACCCCATGCCAGAGGGAGGCCAGAGGGGGGTCAGAACTTGGCACTCTCTGGAGGTCTGCTGAGATCCCAGCCTTAGCCTACCAAAGGCAGATCTGCCCTGGGGCCTTGGGAGGGCCCTCACAAAATCCCAGGTAGGGGGATGGTATGGTGCAATTAGGGGACTCTCACCACCATGTGGAAGCAGGATCAGGGGCTGTCAGGCTGTCCCCTGGGTTCTCAGGTCCTCTGGTAGTTGGAGGCCAGAGGGAGGCCAGAACCCAGCACACTCTGGTGTTCTGCTGAGCTCCCAGCATCTACCCTGATGGAAGAAGTCTGAACCCACCCTCTCAGGCTGTCTGCTAGGATCTTAGCCTTAGCCTACCAAAGCCAAATCTCCCCTGGGGCCTTGGGAGGGGCCTCACAAAATCCCAGGTAGGGGGATGGTATGGCACAATTAGCAGAAGCTCACCACCACATGGAGGCAGGATGGGGGCTGTCAGGTGTCCCCTGAGACCTCAGGCCCTCTGGTAGTTGGAGGCCAGAGGGAGGGCAGAACCCGGCACTCCATAAGGTAAATTCTTGTAGTATACAGCCATTCTCTACACCAAGGTCAGAGGCAGCCACCCATGTTCTCATCTCAAACCTGTGTGTGTGTGTGTATGTGTTACGTGAGATCCTGTGTCTGTGTGTGCACATACAGAAGTCATATATACGTGGGCTCTAATAGACATGTCTGGATTCCTAAATTTCATCTCCCAATAAAAATTACGAGGAGCTCCTTAGAGAAATGGCTGATTTTACAGCCAAGATTTAAAAGGTATGCCTGGGACACTGTGCTATCAGAAAGCCAAGGACATGTTCAAACACGGGCCAGTGCATGTCAAAGGGAGAGAGCCAACCTGAAGTGTTTCAATGCCCAGAACTGGCACCAACTTAGAAGCTTTGGCTAATCCAACCTGGGTAATCCAGAGCAGCCTCTCAGTGTCAAGGTCATTGGGTTGGTGTCTTCAGTTCCACGTGTGACTTAAGTCCCCTTTTGCTGCAGAATGCAGCAAGGACGGGGACATGTCAGGGACCAACAATGTCTCAGCACAGACCCGGGTTGGCAGGTCCGAGTGGACTAGCGGAAGTACTGCTGTCATGTGGACGCTCCCAGTCGTACACCACACAGCTCCAATCACAGCCACCTGTCCTTGGCCTGGAGCTGACCATTCCTCTTTTCACATCTGTAGCCCGCAGACTCCGCCTCTGCAGGATGTGGTCATGCCACCCTGCCCGCATCTGTCCTCTCTGCCTTCCTTTGCCACCAATTACACATCATGAGTGATCACTATGTGGGGAAGGTAGTGAGCGCTTTTCCCCAGGGCCCAGCTGTGTCTTCCCTGGATCATAATAAAGGCAACTTTCATTTAAATAAAAACTGCTCAAACAAGGCAGGAAGCCAATTAGTCCTAAGAACAGGCTGTTCTACTGTTTTTAAAAACCTCTCCTGTCTCCCTTTCCAACTCCTGGCTCATGTCTCAGCTTAGAAAAATGAGACTAGAAGTTTCCCAGTGGCTTCCAGTAGGACAGATTAAGATGAGGGTGAGGTTCTCAACAGAGGGTGCTGCTTGGTCCCCACTGTATCCTGTGGGACCTGGCCGGGGGCCATGGACAGGGATGTGGGTCTTGAGCTGAAGGGCCTGGGTTTAGACAGTCTACCTCAGCCAGTGATAGCTCTCCGGCTTGAGTGGAGGGTGGAGCTGGGGTACATGATTCAAACCCATCCCGCACCACACTTGTGGACAATCCAGGCCTTCCTAATTTTTCCATTGCGGGCTCCCAAGGCAGACTGTCTTCAGCAAGTATGCATGGAACACATATCTCTGCTGGGTGCAAAGGGCACCCACAGGAGAAGGAATGTGCTCTGCCCTCAGAGGGCAGGGAAAGCCAGGGCACTGACCACTGGGCCTCCTCAGTAAGAGAGAAGGGGCCACTGCAAGGGAGGGAGAACCCCAAGAGTGGGGATAGATCTAAACCCAGGCTTTCAAGGGAACATGGATCCCACCCCATGAACCTATGGACACAAGACCTACCTGTGGGTGCTTGTCCCGTGCCTCCCATCTCCTTCCATCAGGGAGGCTCTGGAACTCCTAGAAAGGCCTCTCATGCCAAAGGACTTGCCTGGTCTGCCTGCAGCAGGAGCCCAGGTGAGCCCTGCACCCTTGGAGGCACTGAACCAAATCTGCTCTTGGCACACCATACTGGCTCCACTTTTGCCTAGTGGAGACCCTCCCCAGGGCTCCTCTCCTCCTCTCCCCACTGTGGGTCCCTAGGACTCCCTTTCTTCTCTCTCAGGCACTGGAAGAAAGCACCTGCCATCCATGGGGCATTGAGAATGTACACCTACTGTGTGCCCCATCCATGGGGCATTGAGAATGTATGCCTACTGTGTACACCTACTGTCCGCATTGTGCCATGATGACTGAGGAAGAGCCTTATCCTGTGAGATGTCCTTGGTCAGCACTGGAATCCACTCAGACCCCAGGCGGCTTGTAACAGCAAGGCCGGGGTGCCTTTGTCTTCAGTCTCCCCCTTGTGCCATCAGAGAATAGTCTAGATGAACTCTTCAGCTGTAGTTGACTACATAGCTTTGGAGGCCACACTACTGGTGATTTGCTGAGTTTCCCATGAGCCTAGCTGCAGACAGCACCTCTGCTGTGCAGTGGAAGCAGGTGCCTGGGTGACCTTCCAGGGACCTGAAGGGGTTTCATATGACCTGCAGGCATCAAGGGGCTGGGATGGGGTGAGGAGGCTTGGCCTCTGTCTTCACACTGTGCCTGTCTCCTTGAAGCCTCCACCTTTGGGTCAAGTTCCACTCAGCATGTGGATGACATGTGGCTCATCTGAGAAGCATTTTGTCCAGACTATAGTACAGGAAGAACTGGACCTAGACTTGCCTGGACTCTGCCTTCCCCTTAGAAGAGCCCTACCAGCTACCCTGACTGGAAACGCCAGACCAGGAAAAGAAGGAAAAGAGGTGGCTTCTGAGTTTCTGGACAATGCTTGTTGATTCTCGGAAAAGACATGAGCATTTCTCCTCTTAGCCTTTCTCTCCTGCCATTCCTGCCCTGTCTGTTACCCTGATGCCCAGGGCTGAAGACGCTGACTTTTGCCTCTTCTCCATCCTATGGCCATAAGTAAAGCCTCTCTTCATCCACACAACACTTATCTTTAAAAATTTTTTTATTTATTTATATTTTATGTGAATGAGTATTTTCCTGCATATATGTAAGTACACCATGTGTATGCAATACCCATAGAAACCAGAAGAGGGCATTGAATCCTCTGGAACTGGGGTCACAAATGGTTGTTAGCTGCCATGTGGGTGCTGGAAACTGAACCTGGGTCCTCTGCAAGAGCAGCCAAGTCCTCTTAACCACTGAGCCATCTGTCCAGCCCCAACATTTGTCTCTTAAACATTGTTTTCTTTTTCTGAGCTTCTAGACTTGGGTTCTGTAACCCTGTGAACCCAGATGGATACCCCTACAAAGGACTGCGTAGCTGGAGCTGCACACACACACACACACACACACACACACACACACACACACACACACACCCCACAGAGTTACTTGCCCACTGGAGCCCCATGATGCTCTAACTCTACACACTGAAGAGGAGACAGTCTAGAGAGTGGTTGGAGGACATCCCCAAACTCTGGTCCCTGCTCCCGCTGGTGGAGCCCTGCCAGCTCAGGGAGACCCTCCAGCCTTCTGAGGGTGCCTGGGGAGAGGCAACAGCAAACACTGTGTTAGGAAGAAGGGCCTTTGGGCAGAAAGGCTAGGTCTTCGAGAGGAAGGGCTCAGTGAGTGGCACTGTTGGTGGGGCTGTGAGCCACCCTTCCACAGCCTTCTGAGGGTGCCTGGGGAGAGGCAACAGCAAACACCGTGTTAGGAAGAAGGGCCTTTGGGCAGAAAGGCTAGGTCTTCGAGGGGAAGGGCTCAGTGAGTGGCACTGTTGGTGGGGCTGTGAGCCACCCTTCCACCAACAGCCTGACCCTGAACACGGAACTGGCTGAGCTCAGGCAGAGAGAAGGGAAGACTAGCTCTGGCTTGACTACAGGATGGAAGGAGCCAGCAGGAGACAGCCTGACCCTGAAGCTCTGCACACGGAACTGGCTGAGCTCAGGCAGACAGAAGGGAAGACTAGCTCTGGCTTGACTACAGGATGGAAGGAGCCAGCAGGACTAGTCCTGAAGGCTGACTTCTGTCACAAGACTGGGCCAGTCAGGGTTCCTGACACTGCCCCCAGGTGCCTGCACTTGGGTGGTCACTGGTGTCTGATCCGAACCTTTGTCTCCTGCTGCCCTGGTACTTACTGACACCTGGACGGCCACTGAGGACATAGTTTCTCCTCATTCTCATGCCAGCCGCCACTGGTGCCCCCTTTGTCTTCAATTTGCTCCTCTGGACTCTGGCTTCCTCCTAGAGGAAGTGGCCCAATGCCCCAGTACAGCTCAGGGGAAAGGGATGCCTCCCAGCCTTCTCCTCCCTTGACAGGACTTACCCTATGGTCTTCCCCCAGTCACACCACAGGGTCCTCCCGACAGCCTCCATGTCCTCCTTGAAGCGGGTGAGGCACAGTTCCTGGATGAGGGTGCCATAGTCAGGGTCCTGGCAGGCGGTGACCATGAAGAGGTGGTATGCTGCAAGACAGGGTACAGGGGCTATGACCTGCCAGCTCTGCCTCCTAGTAGACAGCCTCTCTCAATGCACCCCGACCATTCACCAGTCTACCCCAGGGTCCACAGGGCACCAGGAAGGGATCTGTGTCATCAGGAGCTGGAACCAGCTCTGGTGCCATTTCTGTTGCTGTGATAAAAGCAGTTTGGAGGAGGAACGGTTTATGTGGCTCAGGATTCCAGGTCACAATGCATCACTGGGGGAGGTCACTGTAGCAGGGACTTGGAGCAGCTGGTCACATCGCACCCATGGTCAGAGGCAGAGACAAGCAACAGCACGTGTGCTCACTTGCTGGTACTCAGCTTGACTTCTCCACTCATACAGTTCAGCACTGTCAGCCTAGGGAAAGGTGCTGGCCACAGTGGGCTGGGTCTTCCCACAGCAGTTAACTTAAGATAGCCCTCATAGACACGCCCATAGGCCACTCCAACGTGGATAATCCCTCACTGAGACTCTTTCTAGGTAATTCTAAGTTGTGTCAAGTTGACAGTTACGGCTCCCATTCGCTTTCCTCCTTGGTCACTTTGTGTTTCTGAAGGTGGTACCCCAGGGCCTTGGTTACCATGAGGCCAGGGCCTTGGTTACCATGAGGCCAAGGCTGGCAATGAGCTCCGTTTCTCCTGAGTCACTGTGGGCACTGGCACCAGGCACTGGTCTCACACTTGCACTGTCTCACCCTCTGGCATGGTTCTTTGCCCTAGTTACTTTCTATGCTGTACTAGAACATTCTGACCAAAAACAACTTGGGGAAGAAGAGGTTATTGCATCTCACTTCCAAGTGACAGTCTGTCATTGAGGGAAGCCAAGCAGGAACTCAGGGCAGGAGCTGAAAGTACAGACCACCGGAGAACGCTGCTGACTGCCTGCTCCTCTGGCCCGTGCTCAGCCTGCTTTCTTATTCAGTACAGGACAGCCTGCCCAGGGGTGGCACTGCCCGCAGTGGGCTGAGCCTGCCTACACTCAACAGTTAAGAAAACATCTCACAGACATGCCCACAAGCCAGCCTTAAAGAGGCAATTTCCCAGTTGAGGATTTCTCTGCCCAGCTGTGTCAAGTTGACAACTGACACCAACCATGACATCCTGACACCTGCACAGTCATAGCAACCTAGGCAGCAGGCACGGCTTGCTGGGATTTAGCGCAGGTCTGCTGGCCTCCAAACTCAAGGGCAGATCTGAGATGACACCAGGTAGTGTCCCAAATATAGGTAAGGAATCACTGCTGCCCCCGGCAGGGGTTGCAGGAGAGGGTCTGGGTCTACCCTGTGAAGTTGGTACCTGGGTCTGTGCCAAACCACCCAGCCCCAGGCACATCCCCTGTGCCCAGGTATTTGGTAATCATAAACTAAGCTGGCAAACCAAAACACGAATGGTGTCTGCACTCTTATTCTGATAAAAATGCAAGATCAAAGATGATCTCCCAAGCTGCACAGTGCACAGAATCAAAGGTGACCTATTTCCTCAGAGCTCGATGGTGGTAGATGTGGGCTGGTGAGGAGGGCTTCTCTCCCTGGCCCCTACCCACTAATGTGACAGGCCTCCTTGGATGGAGAGTCCATTCTCAGCCTCTGTAAGGAGCAGCTGGGGGTGTGGTCATAGTGCTCTGGCTTCCAGCCCTTTCCCTTGGTCCCTCCCTCTCCCAGGCCATGCTGAGCATCCTCTGCCCACAGGGCCAGCTCCACTCACCAGTTCCTTCCTTCCTTATTACTGGGAAGAGCCTGGAGGAAGCCAGGATCGCACTGGGCACTGTGGGCTGTTTGTTGGTCCTTGCCAGAGAGATGGGGTGGTGGGAGGGCAGTCCAGCCTTGTTAGCATCCCCTCCTCACCCTAGGCCTCAGGAGAGCATTGGGCTGTTCTTCGTACCCTGGGGATCAGGAAGCCTACTAGCAATGGGCAGAGTGGCCCAAGGAGAAGCTGGAAGCCCTTGGGCAGAGAGCCTCGGTGGGCCTGGGGCCCCAGTCTTGGGACATGACCTGGAGGGGGTGGAATTCCAGTGACCTGGGCTGGGGACATACAGGGGCGCCTGCACTGAGCTCTTCCACCTGTGGCTTCCCTAGGCTCCTTTTGTTCATTGTTACCTTGAAGGGTGGTCCTAGAGTGACCAGTTTACAGGACTGAGGCCTCATGTCAGAAACAAGTTGAGGTCCCACCACCAGAAATGTTGTAGACCAGAGCTGAACTCAGGCCTGGGTCCTATGGCCTGGCAGGTGGCTCCACTACTGCCTGGCTTGAGATGAGACCCAGGGGGATGCTTGGAGTGTAGCCAAGGGCACGGCCTATCCTATGAGGTGGGCATGAGGGGCAGGTCAGGAAGGGCTGGGGGGCATGGGGGGAGGGGGAGCAAAGGGGTTGGAGGAGTTCCATCCACTGCACTGTCCCCTGAAGGAGGGGCATTGCTGGGTGGACAGATGGATGAGTGGGCTCCACCAATGCAGATCTAGACATGGTAGAGGTGCCCAGTGGCTCACATAGAACCAGGGGTGGCACCGGGGGTGGCAAGATGGAGAGGATGAGGGGGAGAATGAGTCCTGGTTAGAGACAGCAGACTCATCAGCTACCTGACAAAAGGCAAGGACAGACGGGCCCTGGGGAACCCGAGGTGTCCATGGGGGGCTGGAGCTTAGCTAGGCACAGGGCCGATGCATGGGAAACCAGAGCACCCCTACAAAGTCACCCTCACATGCACTTGCCAGGCCCCCAGGGTAGGAGAGGGGCCAGCATGGGCTGCCTGACGCTGGGCAGGGTGCTCACCTGGGTCAAGGCCTGTGCTTCTGAAGTTAGGGCAGGGTGGTACAGAGCAGCACGCAGTGGCCCCAGGAAGTGAGCCGGGCATAGGTGGCCTCCTCATACAGGCCAGACCCCAACGACACATCTTGACAGTGTGGCCAAAGCTAACACAGCAGCGTTTTACGGTAGTCAACGGGAGGTCCTGTGTTTAATTAAAAATAAAATCCCCCACAACACCCCTGTCCCCAGCAGCATGTGGAGCCTTGTGAGGCCTGGTGGCTGAGCTCTGCAAACCTGGGTTTTCCTGACCTGCCTCCATGTGAGTGCCTGTTGGCCTGGGGATCCCCATGTGTACCGTCAACCAATAGGTCCAGGCAGGGCAGCCTGGGAACCCGGCTGCTTAGGAAGAAGGCTCTGAGGACATGCCTGGACAGTGGGTTTGGGCAGGCCAGGCCAGGAGACAGTCATGGCCCTGAACCGAGGGCATGCTGGGACTGGTGAGGGAGAAGTATGGTGGTCCCAGCCCTAGGCTGCATCTGTTGTGGGAAGCTCAGAGGACAGCAAGGCCCCCTCTCCACTCCTCAGCAAGTCTCTGCACCTGAGCTCATGGCAGCCCAGATATATCTGCCAGTCCGCATGGGCACAGTGAGGACGCCTGGGGACTTGCTAGGGCCAGCTATGCACATACATGCCCCTTACCCTGGGGACGTATTTATTTATTTAATGTGTATGAGTGTTTTGCCTGCATGTGTGTAAGTGCACCTGTATGTGCCAATGTCTGCAGAGGTCAGAACAGGGTATTGGATACCCTGGAGCTGGAGTTTCAGATAGTTGTTAGTTACCATGTGGGTGCTATGAACCAGGGTCCTCTGAAAGCACAGAGGTTAAGAGCAGCCAACACTCTTAACCACCGAGTCACCTCTCCAACCTGGACTTTGTAATGATCAGGGAAAACTGGGCAATGGGTTACTTCACACCACTGTCTCCTGGGAACCCCAGTGGAATCCCTTCTGTGGTGTACAGGAGACCCAGACACACAGCAAGCTCAGGGGCTTCAATCAGACACCCAGCCTCCTGTACGGGGTGAGGGTCCTCTCTCCATTTGTCCCTTACCCCTTATGGCTCCTGGCACCTAGACCTGCTCTATGCCCCAACCAACCTTCCTCACATAACCTTCACACCCCAAGCTGTCCTGCTCCAGTGGCCCACAGCTACAGCCACAGCCACATCCTGGGTGCTCAGGGAGGGTGGGCAGAAGGTTTTCTCAGAATCACTTTTGACACCCTCCTACTTCCCACTCCCTTCTGACTCAAGCAAATGCTGTCTTCACTCGAATCCGGCAGGGTAGCACATTAATGTCTGTCAAATGAACCAAAGGGCCTGCGGTGCCCACACACCGTTGGTGGACACTGCTGGAAGCCAGGTACCTGGGGCTATTCCTTAATGTAAGGAGCTGCCTAGGCAACAGAGGGTCAAGAATGGACATGGCCTTCCCTCTTGTTCTGGAAAAACCAATTAGAAGGCAGGGGAGGGGATGCCTCAGTCAGGGTTCTGTGTAGACCACATTCAAACCCAACATGTGCTTACGTGGGCACTAAGGGAATCTGCCACTGGGACCTGGTATCTCCAAGTCCCCTTGGTCAGAGAGGCAGGAGCCGCACATCTGTCCCACAGAGCTGGTTCTCAGGTAGAGGCTGTGCTGCCTCCTTTGAGGGAGTGGTTCCCAATAGGGAAAAGGACACTCAGAGGCTGGGGACCAGAAGGAACAACCATTCCCAACCACGTTCCCTCCATGCCCTGAGAACACTCCCACCTCTTTCAGTCTCCAAGACTGAGAATTTCTGGTCAGTGCCTGGCTGCCCAGTTGGTCCTGCCTGGCCTAGACCCTGGATCTCCCCTCTCCCCAAGCCACCCTCTACCTCCCGAGGAGTCCAACCCCATCATCCCTCTGCTCTGCCCATCCTTCCCGTCCACATGTACAAATAGAGAGAACGGCTTCATTTTGTAGGCAGTGGCGCACCCTCATCTTTCTTAAAGATGCAACTGGCATGCTAAAAACATGAAAACTGCCCCGAACTTTAAACTTGCCCTTTGGGGTCCAAAGGGCCCATTCTCTGTGTGCTGGCGAATGTAGTCCCGCAGGACCTACTGTTTTTGGAAGCCCAGACTGAGGCACCGTCTATGTCAGAACAGGAGCACCCCAAGGCTGTGCGTAACTTAACAGTCCAGTGTTGCTG